GCAATATAGACATTAACAAATTAAAATTTGTTGCACAAAGAGTCAATAACAGCTATTGGCCATTGACAGTGCAGACAAAGAGAATCCAGATATGAACGAAAGTAGCCCAAAATATCACTCACAAACATTAATTTATTTACACAGTTTGAATTAAAGAGTATAGTCTTAGATTCTCAATGACCCCAGCTCGTGCACTAAATTTTTTTTTTTTTTAAAAAAGGTGAAATAATCGAAAATGATGTATTAATTAATGTATTCGCTGCATCCTAAAACATGTCTCTGGACTCTGCTGGTATGTATATTAGTATGTAGGAAGGCAGATACATCCAGTGAAGAATCCCATGAGACACGCTGTATCTTATATTGAGTCTTTCGGGAACGAAGGCCATTGTAGCTGGACGTCATGCTTTATAACTCCGTAGTGTGTAGACTGTACTTCAAACATTTAATTAAATTTGCAAATCTTAGAACGATCAAGGTACGTACGTATTTATAATTTATTAATAAGTATATGCCTTGTGATTGCTGTGTTTTAGATTAATGTTGAATTATTGATCTTTATGAAATTCGTCAATTAAGATATAAAGTTTATTTAGTACTAGCCGTCCTTGGTAGATTGATAATGTATATCAAATATTCTGATTTATGTTAATATTTAAGTTTTTATTAATACTGTTATAATATTTCTTTTTTTTTTTTCAAAATTTTCCCTAATTCAAGAAATATATATATATAAATAGAGAGAGAGAGAGAGTTTATTTAAAATTGTAGTATAGCTTTAAACTCAACAGTTTAACATTTCCCTTTTGTTATGCCTATATGAAAATGAAGGCCTACAACTCACACAATTATATATAAGATGTGTACGGATTGATATATTTACATTTTTTTTTTTTTGGGATTTAGTAATTATCATATTCTCATATCAGTTTATATGTATTTTGAAACTAATTTTTTTATTATTTGATTAAAGACAAATCATATATGTTAAGAGGAAGAAATTCATGAAATTTTTTTTTTATTATTCTCTTCAAGAAATTAAATCATGATTAATAAGGTATAAAGTAAAGTTTCTTACTAACTAAACTACAATTCCTTGAGTATATACACTTATTTGATGTTAAGCAATTAATACAAGTTTTATTATATTAGTAATTATCCAAAGATTTAGTAGGATAAACGAGCTCAAATCATGTTTAGATCTTGGACAATTAATTTAATTGAGCCAGTTGTAACAAGTAACAACCTCGAAAGTAGAGACATTTAATTTCTACCAACAGCTAAGACATTATGTGGAGTAACATGCGAAGTAATGGTTATCGCCATGCATACCTGTGTTAAGGTAATATAGAAATTGTAAAATTATTTAGTTTGGTGGTCAAAAGTAATTAATAATTTACAAAATAATTAATATTTATTATTTAATAATTTAAGATTAATTTATATAATAAAAATTTAAGCAATTTAACTAATAATTGCACCTGTCCCTTGAGGCCTAGTGACAATAGTCACCCAGTGCATTCCCCTTTACCCCGGGCTGGGTTCGAAACCCGCCCCTTGCAAATATGTTAAAAAAAAAAATTTTAACTAATAATTAATTATAAATTTATAAAATCAATT